TCTTGAAGATAATGCACGAAAATGAATCCTAACCACCAAGTCTTTGCTTCAATTATGATCTATGATGATGATTGAATAAGATTGAATTGAAGTGGATGAAAATTGGTGAGGAATTTGTGAGATTTGGAATGAAACTTCAATGAAAAGTATGAGAGAAATTTGTGAAAATCTTGGTGCAAATGAGGCCAACCCTTGCCAAATTCTCCTTTCATGAATATATAGACCCCAAATGAACATTCTAGATTCATCTTGCACATTCCCTTGTTTTCAAACTTTGGCTCATTTTTGATTATGTTTCTTAAATGATAAGCAACCATGGATAACTTCATTTTTTCCTTCTAAACTCAAAAAAGTGGGTGAACCATTGTTCTTAGAATTGTTTTTCCATTCAAAATCATATATTGGAAGTCTCCATTTGGACTTGTAAATCTCCCAAACCATTTTCCAACTTGAAATTATTCACTTTATAAGCCTTTTTAGTTCATATTTTGACCAATCATGCAACTCCATGCTATGAGCTTCTCCAATAACTTGTGACCTTCTTTCTAGACTTAAAATCCCATTTGGAGCAAGTTTGATGTTGTAAGTTTTTCCATTTGAGGCCTCCTTGTATGAGTTTTGGGTATAGGTTAAAATGACCTGTAATTCACAAATGCCCAAAATACCCTTTGCTTGTCAAGACCATAAGTTGAGTTCTCCACATCATATGAAGGCATGCCATACCATTCTAGAAAGCTAAGACAATGAGGAACAACTCTTATGTTGACCAAGAATTCATTTGAAATCTCCTTGAGGGGTAAAACTAGCTTGGAAGTCAAGTCACTTTCACAGACAAAAATTCAGACACCCCAGATGACCTGTAACTTGTAAGGACCATAACTTGAGTTCTATAAATCTCCTTGAGGTCTTCCACCACTCAAATTAAAGGTCTTGAGATCCTCTACAAGTTTCATGTTGGCCAAGAAGCCATTTGAAGTTAGCATTTTGACTTATCTTGCTTGGAAATTTGACCTAAACTAGGGGATTTTACAGAGAAACCCTAATTTAGTAACTCCTCTTCTCCTTGATTTCTCTTGAATTCTCCTTGTCATATCTCCATATCCTTCTTCATACATCAAATGTTGATCCCCACATCTCTCCAATAGACTTGAATGCCCTCTTAAGTCAGTCAATTGACCTAGGGTTGACCCAGATGAAACCCTAGTTGACTGTCTTCAACTGTAGCTCTTGTGCTTTCATCAATGACTTGTTTTCTTCTCCAAATGACTTTATAAGTCTCTCAAGATGTCTAGATGCTCTCCATGTCTTCATTTCATAGCTCACAATCCTCTTGTTGGTCCTCAGATACCCTCAGCTAGGAGATGGTCTCAAGGCTTGATCTGCTGAACTATTTGCTTTCAAATTCTTTCCTGATGACTTAAATGAGATTGAATTGGGATAATAACCTCTTGCTAGGCCTCTAGAGATGGAAGTAATGATTGGTCCCCTGTTGAATGACTTGCTATGCTTATGTTATGCAGATGGTTAGTCTATGTACATGATTCTACATGCAAATGCTAATGATAATGAAACATGAATCCAAGGAATAAGGTTGAGCAAATTTTAGGGTGCAACAGAGGGTATTTTGGTCTTTTTGATAGAAATAGAATTGAGAGGAGAATAGAGAGGAAAATAGAAAGAAAGAAAGAAAAGAGAGTTAGAGAGAAAGAAAAGAGAAAGAAAGAAGAAGAGAAGAGAAAGGAGGAAAAGGTTGGAAATCATCAAGAAAGCTCACTAAGAATCGAATAATCGGGTAAGGGTGTTAAATTCTATCATCTTATCATTGTACATGAATCATGTATGTATATTTGTGGATTAGTTTGGTTGTTTTCTCAATTTTCTTCATTTAGGTCGAAATGATAGAAATCGATAGAAACCGATGTTTGAACGGTTAGAATCGGGAATAACGTTCGTAGTTTAGTCGGGATATGTTAGACTAAGAGTATTGGAACTAGTTTGGCGAAAATCGAGTGATATTCTGAGTTTCACCATTTTCGGTTAAATTGAGGTTAAGATTTTGAGTGGAAATAGGATGTCGTGAAATTCGAGTTTTATGATCCTAAAATGTCCGTATGTGATTAGTAAGGATGGATAGGCATTTAATCGGGTGAAAACCATTTAATCGGTCGGGTTTTTGGGGCTTTTAAGCCCAAACCCGTAGCTGTTTTTCCAAGCTTTTCAGGAGTTAATCAGTTAACCATATACGTTAACCGATTAACACAGTATTAGGGGCCTAAAAACTGAGTTTTTGGAGTGGTTAATCGGTTAACCATATGCGTTAACCGATTAACACTGTAAGTGTGAGAAAATATTATTTTTCAAAACTTCGAAAATTCATAATGTTTTCTCCGTTTATCGAATTTTGACATTCTTTATATCAAACCGAAGCTAATAATATGTTCTATAACTTGGTGAAAAGAAATATTATTTTTAGCTGACTTTTAGCCGATTTTACCGATTAATCGGAATTAACGATTTTGAGTGAGAGAAGCTTAATTAGCTAGAGCGTCCGATTGCGATCGGTCTCGTCTCGTATGAATAATTTGTGTGTTATTAATGGTTGTGTTGTGGGTAGCCGTAAGGCATGAATCCTAGTGTATGAATCGATTGTGAATCGTGGCCTTTGGGCAAATTATATGCATTATTTAGAATTGAATAAAAATGCATGGTAATTGTGATGAATGATGAATACAATATACATTGTGAATGTATGATTATTGTACGTGATGAATATGAAGAATGCATGAAAAATATATTTGCGTATATGTATGCATTCTTGTGTTGGTTGATCCCGCGTAGGATCTGCAGAATCATCGTGTGCCCATGTGGGGTGTGAGCGATGTTTTATAGTTGATTGAGTCATTTTGCATGTGAAGCATCATGATATGAATTCTTGTGTTGGTTGATCCTGCGTAGGATCTACAGAAGCCTCGTGTGCCCAGTGGGGTGTGAGCGATGGTTTATATTTTGATTCCGCGTAGAATCTGCAGAACGATTGTGTACCCTTGTAGGGTGTGAGCAATCAGATTGTGTGCCCATGTGGGATGTGAGCAATCCTGAAACATCGTGTGCCCATGTGGAGTGTGAGCAATGGGTGAACATCGTAGGCCCGACGGGGAGTTACTTCGGTAACGAGCGATGGTTCCATTTTGGTTCTTCAATTGAACATGATGATTGAGTCGGTACCACATTTGCATCTGCATAGAGTCGTGAGTCGGTCTCTATGAGTTGCATTATCATCTTTATATGATGCATTGGTGAAATAAACATGTATGTAGATGTTTATGTGAATTGGTGATGAAATGAACATATTGTGTATGTTTATGTGTATTGATTGAAATTATGGATATATGCATAATAAATATGTCTGGTGAATATCCAGTATTTGTGTATTTATACATTGCGGTGTATATGGTGAGGGATGATGAATTGTGGTGAGAAATGATGAATATGTGTATTCTTTGATTGTATATATATATATATATATATATATATATATATATATATATATATATATATATATATATATATATATATATATATATATATATATATATATATGCATTGAATATTATGATATTGTTTCTCACCCTTCTGCTGTTTTATGATGCTTTATGAGGCATTGCAGATTAGGTGCTGGTGATCTCTTTTTGTGAAGGGTGTCTTTATTTGTTTCGGTCGGATGGCTCTGATATGTAACACCGGGTAGCATAGGAAGCCTAGGGCTATTTTTGATGAATACATTTGTATATGTATTATTGGTGTTGCATGTTTTGTAAACATGAATGTTGTTGATGTATTACACTGAATGATGTGAATATGTATATATGTGAATACATGTCGATTGTGATTCAAATGTTTAGATTTTCCGCTTTTTTTCTAAATATTTGAGATGTGGGAAAGGACTAAGTTCCTCTTTTGTGTGTTGCCCATTGTTGCATATCTCTATTAGCAGGTGTTGTATGTATGTTTAATTTCAAGCATTATGTGGCATACTCCTTTTATACTGTGTTGTGAATTACTCTGATGAAATTTTAAATAAGTGCCTAAATGATTATTTGTATTATCTGGGAGTATAGAAAGGGGGTGTTACAAAGTGTCCTATGATCAAAAGGTCATAATTTTTTACATGCGAGCGGGCACGTGTCAATAGTTCCTCAGCGAAAAGACATATGACATAAGAAATACATTTAATGCGCAAGTTCCCAATGCTAGTGGTGACCCATCACTACCCTTCATTTAGCCTAAAACCCATCACTACCCTTCATTTAGCCTAAAACGAAAGTTGATTCTGTGACATGCACAATAAAACCCTTCCCTTGCTAGAGAAAAGGGCTTGGAGGAAGTTGTTCTGGAAGGCCCCAAAAGGACCAGTAAGAGAGGCTTAAGATCGAATGCAATTGAAGATAATGCAATAGAAGGGAAGACCTTTATAACCTCGAGTGTAGACAATCACAATCCCTAGCTCATCACAAACTATCAAGAACAATTAGATGGTCTCCAACATGATACGTCGCATTCCACGTGAAATGATTATAACCACCTTTGTTAATAAAGCGAGAAGGCTTCATTTTATAGATAATTCAAATCCATCTCCATTATTCACTATTTTTCATTATAACTGATTTGGATATTGGAATACTAACTTTATACAAATTGAATGAATACAAATTGCATGACAAGTCCGATCACTAATTCATCTCACATTTTTTATTCCCTCCCCGAAATATATACACGAGCACGAAAAATCGTCTTTTAAAATGTTCCAATCGCCCCAATTACAAATGAAACATTACCCCATACCACTAGTTGAAAGAAAATAAAATGCAATACACATCATATTAAGTAAAAAATAAAACAACTTAAAAGATTTTAACAGATCATGTATCCTCACAAAAAGTTTACTGCTTCTGTTGGAATGCATGTTAATTTTCATTAAGAGTGTGTCCTCTTGAAGTAGCTCAGATATTGGTCACAGAAACTGCATTCATAAAGTTCTCATCCAATTCCAACTCTGTCATAACATTTGGAGAAAGACATATTTCCAAATCCATACTCCCTCCTCCTTCATGTCCCTCATATGCTGTCACATTCCCATCACATTTGTTTGCATAACCACTCAAAACACCCACTGCTTTCCCCATTCCAAATTCATTCCCATACATATTGAATCTTGGTGAACTTATCATTGCTACACTACTTAATGGATCAAAGTGGCCATCAAGATCGAGTATAACAGGAGACTCTAACCACTTTTCTACACTCTTTTGAATCTCTAAGTCATCATGCTTTGTAACAGCCACATGAACCTTCCATGCTACCCATCCCAAATCATTCTCAAGTAATTCTCCTGCAGTCGCTTCTGCAGTCACAGTATCAACTGAGGTCCCAAAGTACTCTTCAGGAAGAGGCGGTTTCAATCTCGGTCGGTTGTTTACAGCCACCATACAACTTGTTTTTCGATCATTTGTTAGGCAGCGAGCACGAGTTATACTTCTCCAAACATGTGCCGATAAGGATTGGAACGAAGAGATTTTGTTTGTATTACACTCCCTATTAGCCTTTGCTTTCAGTTTTGCGATAGACTCTGATGTAAAGTGGAAGAATCTCTCTCTCAGCTTAGGTGGTTCAAATCTGCTTATAAACTCGTCGTGATGTTTGAATGGAAGATTGATCAGTGGACCATAACCTTCTGGGAACCAACGATTGTGAAAGGGTTGGCGTGAAATGGGAACATCATGATCATATCCTTGGCCTTGAGCTTGAAATATTTCTGACCATGTATTTAAGAAATTCCAATAAGAAGTTCCATCGCCAATATAGTGATTCATGGAACAACCTATGAAAACACCATTTACTAGCTCAGTGACTTGGATGGATAACAAAGGTAAGGTGTGACCGTCGTGATTGATTGCTTTGTTGAGATCAAACAATGACTTAACTACCGGTGGAACATCAACTGGGGCGAGGATATCAGATATGGTTATATCCAAAGTTGCATAGATGAACCTAGCTCCGGGGTTATTGTTACTGCAATCAACGAAGATAGAATAAGATGGAGGATCTTGAGATTTTTGTGTAACAAGACGACCAGATAGAGGATAGAAATGGAATAGAGAAAGAGAGAGGGAGTGTTTGAGCTTCTTCAACAGATTATCGATGAACTCTTGTGTGTTGTTTGACTGTGATGGCTTTTTGAATAAGAGGCCTTTCTGGATGTAGTTCATGGACGACATGGCAATATCCCATGTTGTCAAATGGCAGATTCGGTTTGATTCTGGAATAGGGTGTAGAGGTTTGATGAAACATTCTGAAACATGTTGAACAATAGAGGAAGTCGTCATTGTAATGCTTGCATAGAATTCAGAATCTCGAATCTTACAAGTTTCTATTTGGAAATTAGATTGAAGAACCTTGAGGAGGTTAACTGCTATGGGGAACTTGCTCTAAGCTTCAACTGCTTCTTTTTCTTCCATTTTGGTGTTGCTTTTGCTGTTGAGTGTAGTGTCAAAAATGGTAACATATGGTTTTGAATGGGAAGTCAAGGAAAATAATCAATTGAAGGTTGTCGCCGCCCAAATAAATTAATGGAAAGTTTACGTGTGGTTTTGAATGTGATATGGAAAAAATAATATATCTTAGTTTGAATATGCTATTTTGTATTTGTATTTGTATTTGAACGAGTACATTCAATTCATTGGCTGGCTTTTGTTGAATTATTTAGAAAGGACTATTTTTAATAATGAGTCACTATCTTAAGCTGAATTGGTGGATAAAGTTTAAGTAATGATCCGGTGGTGGCTCAAGATTAAAATATGGAATTTTAATTATGAACTTAATACGTGGTGGACTCTTCTTGAGTTTTCACCTTTGTTTGAACTCTTGTATCCTTGTCATTTTAAAACATTTCTTGTACTAGAATGGTTTAATTCAATTTTTTTAACTTCTTAAAAAAATTAATTTTTGGATGTGAATGAAAGCAGAAAACAATGAGGACTCTTATTTATGCTAACTTTACATCTTTATTGTTCTATTCTAAAATTAAAATGGCTAATTATTGAGGGGAAATGATTTTGAATCGGTGGTGCTGATATTTGATGCGATGATATGGAGTGGATATGTAAAATTAGTATTCTAACGTCTAAGTCAGTCTAGAATCCATAATGAGGAATAAGAGTGAAGATCAAAAACTGTACATTGAATATCACGTGTGTTAGCTTTTATATGTTGGATTGTTTTGATTCGATTTGTATCATATTGGACCTTGACTTTGGGCCTTCGACCGACTCAGAACAATTGCCTCCAAGACTTGCAGAGCGTAAATTAGTCAGAAAAATCTTTGATGTTGTGGCTGACCTCTAGCATTGACGTTCACCCTAGAAAATAAGTGAGAGAGTCTTAGACCCGTTATAAAAGTAGCGGGGAACAGACCCACTAAATGATTTTTCATCATTGAGATGTTTCAACACTTCTTTTGAGCATGTGGCTCTAAATGTACTTGTTAGGACACGATTCTCCTACCTAAGGTACTTAAGGTACTTGAGTATGTTTGATTCTTTAATTCTCCTATAAGAAAGTTGCTCTGCTACCTTTAGACGTTCTTCAACTTTTAATTTGGACTGTTGATATACCTTATAAAAGGATGACTCTTGATCAAACATCTCCTTTTCCTTCATTTGCTATTCGATGCTCTCTCCTTCTTCTTGAGTTCGTTATTTGTTATCTTGTTTCAGCACTTTGAACTTTTTACTGCTTCATCCCTTGTAGGTTGTCTTTCTATCTTCCTCGTCTTTGAAGGTACATTATTGGCTTTCCTTATGTGTTGTCATGGTTCAACCGTGTGATGTGCCCGTGAACAATACTCTTAAGCTTACCAACGACGAATATTCATCATTTGCGGGAGTTGAAAATTCTGAACTTGTTAACCTCTTTTGCGAGTTAAACTTCATTATCCTTATCTGAACATGTCTCGTGGTAGTTCGGGGTTGGGGTTGAATTATTTCGATGAAGACGATTTGGTAATGAGCATAACCGCCATATGGGATGCTTCTTTACCTCATGTCGAATTCAATTTGGGTCTTGCTTTATCTAAGATAACAACGTGGGAGACTAGTTGCTCCATTCAATCTCTCGTGAAAAGCTCTCTCTGCCGATGTTCCATCGTTACTGATCAAACTGATTTATTTTATGATGCATAAATTAAAATTGTTCGACCCGAGGATTTAATGATCGTGATAGATGAGAATGATTATTCATGGGTGGACCGTGTGTATCTAGGGATAGTTTCTTCTTATGGTCGAGAATTTGATGTGAAGGAAGCTACCTTCGAAGTGGAATCATATTTGAATTGGTCATTTTCTACCATCCCTACCGATAACAGAATATGTAGTAAGTTCGATGGATGATTTGTTCCTTTTTATGAATGTATGTTCCAGAAGTTGGGTGTTCGAATTTCCAAGAATTATTTTTGAGAACGAAGTATCAAATAATCTTCACATTGATCCCTCACAACTCCATTTTATTTATTGGGCTTTTGTGAGAGTATTTCAGTATTGATATGTACCAGGGACAAAATAGGTTCAGCCTCGATTAACTGCTTCTTCCACATTCTTTTGTGAACCCTCCCTAAAAAAAAGGTCTGGCCACAGGTTAGTTTTCCTTCATCTGGCCAACGACAAGTTCTTCCATGTTTACACAAAGAGCTGGAGACACGTATCACCTACTTCGTGCCGTGAAAAAAACAAAACACTAATAGACATAGTTTTAAATCTGAAGATGTGGCAAATGTCCAAATCAAACAGGTTCAACATATCTCCAAAAGTCCTCACTTTCTACTGAAAGCAAAGCTAAATCACACCCAACAGCTCTGGCTAAAACTTGTACATTCCATAAGTGAGAATAAGGTAAATATATTGACATGTGCTAAATAATAATATCAATGTCTAAGAGTCTTCTTTTGAGGATTTGGATACTTGTTTGGAAAAGAAAAAAAAATTACTGGAATTCTCCATACACTATTTATATTTTGTTATTGTTAGAGTATGAAATATTAATATTTTTCATATTATGTTAGAATATCTTATCTTATCTTCTAGGTTCAACTTCCAAGTTAGCGTGTCTTAGATTAGCTCCTAGGATTAATGTCCATATTACTTTAGCCATATGTTTATAGCAAAAGTTGTATCTACAAGTACTTCTTTTTTCCATATAGTATTAAATTAAAATCAGACAAATCAACCAACAAAACATTGCCAGCTTAGTTCTTTGAATCATTAAAAAGAAACAAAACCATTTTATATTAATATAATACTGTTTTTGAAAACATTACTGCAAGTTACCTGAATTACTATAATCGCCCATAAACTTATACCAGAAGTCCCCAACCTTTTCAAGTTTTAATTTATATCTTTTATGCACATCTGAAATTCAGTTTAACCGATCTGTCTGTAAATCTGAGAAATTATTTCAGGTGACATTTTAGACACTATGCGAGATAAAATATATGTTATACTATGCAAAATATAAATAAAGTCAAATAAATGAAAATTTTAAAATGTCCGGATAAAATTAGGGTATGACAGATGCCCCTATTTAATTAACTTGAACCAGAAGGTATGTATGATAATGATCTTCATACATTCTTGGTGGAAGATAATTAAATACGAAAAGACCCTGAATTTTGTCTAAGAATGAAAGTGTGATGAGTTTTTAAAAGAAATCAGATCAATGTTCACCCTCGAATGGACACTAAATAACTTACAATGGCAGAAGTTAACGACACCAAAAGGATGACAGTAAACTCAAAACTACAAAAACCGCTGACACCAAAAGGATATCAGTAAGATCAACAAAGCTGACTATCACCAAAAGGATGATATTAGGTTCACAATGACTTCCAAAATTTTCAACACCAAATGGATGACAGTTGTTAAACTTTAACGACTGTCATCACCAAAAGAATGATGATTAGATGTCAATACTAAGGTCAACATCACCGAAAGGGTGATAATGAGACCCACGACTCGCGGATTGCTATTACCAAAAGGATGATAGCCATCACCAAAAGGATAATGAATAATTAAAAATGTCAAAGATCGCTACCACCAAAAGGATGACAGTTATCACACTGAAACTTTCTGTTACCAAAAGGATAATAGTAAGATCAATACACAAAGTTATCTATCACCAAAAGGATGATAGTTAACTCAATCTTCTTCAACATCAAAAGGATGAAGGTTAAATTAGAATGACAAATAATGTCATCACTAAAAGGATGATGGTTAGATCATAAATGACTTCTGCTAGCACCAAAAGGATGACAGTAAGGCCAATAATTTACAAGGATCGCCATTGACAAAAGAATAATGGCGAGATCATAACTGCAAAGATTGTCGACACCAAAAGGATGACGGTTCTATCACCAAAAGGATAACAGTAAATGCACAAAACTCGCTATCACCAAAAAGATGATAGTAAGTACACACAAAGATCTCCGACATCAAAAAGATGATAGATATATAACCAAAAGAATGATAGTGAACACACAACTCGCTATCACCAAAAGAATGATAGTAAGCTCTCAATCATCAAAGATTACCGAAACCGAAAGGATGAAGACGATGACACAATTCACTATCACCAAAAAGATGATAGTAAATTCTCAATATTAAATATCACCGACATCAAAAGGATGAAGGTGATTACACAATTTGATATCAGCAAAAGGATGATAGTAAATTCCCAACTCTAAAGATCACTGACATCAAAAGGACAAAGGTGATGACATAATTTTCTATCACCAAAAGGACGATAGTAAAATCTCAAATTCAATGAATATAGACACTAAAAGGATGAAGGAAATAACATAAATTTCTACCACCAAAAAGATGATAGTAAATTCCCAACACCAAAAGGATGAAGGCAACAACATAATTTGCTATCACCAAAAGGATGATAGTAAATTCCCAACACCAAAAGGATGAAGGCAACCACATAATTTGATATCACCAAAAGGATGATAGTAAATTCCCAACACCAAAAGGATGAAGGCAACAACATAGTTTGCTATCACCAAAAGGATGAAGGTTAGACCAAACAACCCAATTTGTTATCACCAAAAGAATGATAGTAGACACACGATTTCCATGACCGCCCTCACCAAAAGGATGAAAGTAAGGTCGACAAAACTTGATATCACTTTAATGATCATTATCACCAAAAGGATGAAGGTGAAATCAAAACCAAAAATCTCACTACCATCAAAAGAATGGCGATAAGATTGGCTTGGGGAATAAAAAAAAGGTTGAAGAAAAAGAATTCTTCAAGGAAAACCATCCTTATCAAC